ATGGATAAAATTATTTCTTCCGAGATACCAAACAAAGACAGAGATCCTATACTTTATGAAATAGTATGCAAGAATATGATTCATGGCCCATGCGGCGAGTTAAATATTAGATCGCCATGTATGAATAATGGAAAATGTAGTAAGAAATACCCTCACAAATTGGTCAGGGATACTCAAACTTGAGATGATGGTTATCCGACTTACCGACGGAGATCACCATATGATGGAGGTTATACTGCAATATTAAAAGTTCGTGGTCAAACAGAAATCGTGGTTGACAACCGTTGGGTTGTACCGTATTGTCCAGTGCTATCTTGGTGCTTTAATGCGCATATTAACGTAGAATACTGTCATTCGGTTAAAGCGATAAAATACATATGTAAATATATTAATAAAGGATCAGATAGAGCTACTTTTTCTGTTAATCGTGAAAACGATGAGATTACAAATTATTTGAATGGTCGATACATATGTACTTTTGAAGCGTTTTGGAGAATTTTCAATTTTGAAATCCATGATAGAGATCTGACAGTTCAGCACTTGGCTGTTCATCTAGAAAATGGACAGCGTGTTTTCTTTAATGCTAATAATCTTCATCAAGTTATTGAAAATCCAAGAAAAACGACACTAACTGCATTTTTTGAACTGTGTTCACATGATGATTTTGCGAAAACACTGTTCTATCATGAAGTTCCTTCTTATTATACCTGGGATAATAGCAGAGACTGGTTAAAAAGAAGACGGGGAAAAGATGTTCCAGGTTGGCAAGGAATAAAAATGGACACTGCCATTGGTAGAATTTTCACGATTCACCCAAATCAAAGTGAGTGCTTCCATTTAAGATTGTTAATAAAGTATGTACAAGGTCCTACTTCATTTGAAAGCTTGAAGGCCTTTGATGGAGTCATTCACGCGACTTTTAAAGCTACCTCTTTTGCTCTTGGGCTTATAGAAAATGACGAGCAATGGAAAAATGCTCTAGCGGAGGCAACTCTTTCAGAAAGTCCTTCAAAATTAAGAGAATTATTCGCAATAATCATAGTTTTCTGCCAACCGTCTGAACCTCAATTTTTGTGGGAACAGTTTAGAAATGATTTTTGTGAAGATATTCTTTATACAGAGCGCACTCGATTAAATGACTTGCAATTTACTTTTTCTGATGAAATATTTAATAGAGGTTTGATTGAAATAGAAGATAAAGTTGTTTGTCTGTCTGAAAAATATTTAATTGAATTTGGAATGAACTCACCTGTTCGAAATGAAAATGCATCTGATTCTTTTGAATTTTCAATTTTGCGTTCTTACGATAATAATCTTACGAGAATTTGTAGAAATCAATTTACCAAAATTAGTAAATGATCAAAAATATGCTTTTAATGTTATTACAGAAATTGTAATGAATCATCAAGGAAGAGTTTTTTTTTTAGATGCTCCGGGTGGTACAGGAAAAACATTCCTAATTAATTTGTTGTTGGCTCAAATTAGATCCTCAGGTAAAGTTGCATTAGCAGTAGCTTCATCTGGTATAGCAGCAACTCTCCTTAGTGGCGGTAGAACTGCTCACTCGACTTTCAAGTTACCGTTAAATATATTATTTGATTCAGAATACGTTTGTCCGATTCGTAAAAATGGCCCTCTTGGAAAAATTCTTCAAGAAACCTCATTCGTTGTGTGGGATAAGTGTACAATGAGTCACAGATCACAAATCGAAGCAATTGATCGAACATTAAAAGATCTTAGGTGTAATAATAAGTTTATGGGTGGCATAACATTTGTTTTCGCTGGTGATTTCCGTCAAACCTTACCAGTAATCCGTAAAGGTACTCAAGCTGATGTCGTTAATGCTTGCTTAAAATCTTCCCCTATATGGAACTATGTTGAAAAACTTTATTTGCGAACAAACATGAGAGTTTATTTATGCGGAGGGGACGATATTTTTCCAGCACAGTTATTGAAAATTGGAAATGGAACTTTAGAACATGAAAATGGTTACATTTCTGTCAATCACACGATTGGTGTGTGATCTAACTTAACATGCGCAATTATATGTGGCATTTTCTCGAACTGGGGACCCGAATCATCTTATGATTTTAATTTCAACAGGAAATATAACATAAAACATCATATACTCAGAAGTCTTGTAAAATTCTTATTTTAATTCTATTTTTTTCTTTTTTTTCCATCAACTTCAATCAAATTCTTAAATTATTCAAACATAAATTAATTCTTTTTTATCTGTATTTATTTTTATCATTTATAACGCTAGAAAAATTTTAATAAGTTTTCATTGACCCTTTTTTTATATTTACTTGCCGATCACATTAAACAATAATATTTGAATAAAAAATTCTACATATCATGGTCCGAAGGCAAAATAAACAACCAATCACGGGCGAAGCTGTGACGGGTCGGCTAGTATAGTATAAATTTAATAATCACAGATATAATCAATTAATAGATATATAAAATAACCATGAACATTAGGATATTAAACTATAATAATAATAATAATAATTCATCATAATTATCAAATGTTCACGATTTTCTTGAAACTACTAATAACTATATTGTTTACAACTGTCTATGTCTATTATTAACTTCTATTGATAACGGACTGATAGAATACTTAGAAATACTAAGAATATCCTTACGGATTTACGGCTCAAGCATTTAAAAGAAAAATAAAAAAAGTGAAATTAATAAAAAAAAAAGGTTCTGGGGGATGATATATCACACAGATCAACTCCTGTAAATACGCCACTGTTTTGTTTAGTAATATAACTATTGACACATATTAAACTTTACATCAGAACCCATTGAGAACACCTTGACCAACAGGACAGGAGGGCAGAATATGACGACTTTGAGCGGATGGACGAATACTACGTCGCTACCCGAAGAAAGTTGATATTGGAGAAAGTGAAAAATTGTATTCGTTGAACGGAAGTTAGGTATTGGTGGGTTGTATAAAAAAATCAATGAGTAATAAACGACTATCAACATCAATTTATTAACAGTTTTATAAATACAATTATAACATATAAAAAACAGTAATCGAAATTGATATGAACTCAATAATTTTTCGTCTGATTTGGTTTTTTTATTTTTATTCACATGAAACGATCATAATATATTAAGAATAAATTAATAGATTTATAATAACTCAAAATGAAAAATAAATAAAATGAACAGATTTATTTAATAGAGAAAAGAGAAATGATATATGAAAAGATAAGTAGTGAGGTTTGAGTTGATTAAATTTCTTCTAGTTTAAGGGCTCTTGAGGTTACAAACGTTCCAGATCAATGCAACTTGGAGAGTCTTGGAAGCTAAATAACATAGCACTTACTTGGTAAACATGGTAAGTATTTTAAAATATATTTTATATTTTATATTCTTTGTCCAGTGGGTCAACTACTTATATAGATACATAGTTCATTGCTATAAGAATAGAGTGAGGTTGAAATCAAGTTAAACGACACAGGATTTGGTGAAGTGATACTTTTCGACATGTCCACAGATAACTCAAATCACAAACCAAAGTTTAAATTGAAATAAGTAGAAATAACTTGTCACATAAAGCTTTTTAAAGGATCCTCGGCGGTCGATGCTCACACATAGAGGCTTATGATCAAGAGATTGTTAAGAACTAACTGACAGCCTATAGTCAACAGTGCTGTAGAGGGTTGTAGTGAATAGTGCACATGTTATATGGGGAAGTATGGTGGAATAGACCTTGGACTAATCCTTTGAGTGTTTGACCTGCTACTGATGTCAATGGCATATTGTAGAATTAGGTTTTTATTTGATTTTTTTTATTATTTGAATTGTGTTGTCCGTGCGCGTTTCGAAATAATTATTATTTATTAGTTTAAAACAGTTTATAATATTTTACATAATTTAATGGTGCAGTGTCAGCCTGTCCATGGCCGATAGGACGTCAACGTATCAGGGGCCCTCGCTGAATTTGTGTTGAGAGGCCCCAATTTCTGAACATTTATAAATTATTTTAATAATTAATGTAGTAGTTTATATTTTTATGAATTAGATACTGGTGAACTGAAAAACAACTATTACAAAAAAATCCACAGTAGCATAACTTAATATAATGATATAATAATACTTATAATGATAATTTGCATATCATTAAAAAAACTAATAAGTTCTTTAGTATGGGGTATTTTTTATAGTATTGATTTTTTTTTTTTTTTTTTTATTATAAAGAACAAGGCCTCGACAACATAGGTCATTGGTCGCGAATGATGATTACACATTAATTATTACATTATAGGTAAATAATTATAAATATATAGTAGGTAACAAAACAATAAGAATTAGATACGAAAGAAGCAAAATACAGAGAATAAAAGTTAAATGGTTTTGTATAAATTGGTGTCTCTTATAAAACTTAGTGTACTGTTGATATTTTAAGGTTCATTGTTGAGATATACGGCGATGCTACTTGGAATGTTGTGTTTAGTTCTTTCTTCATTATATTGGCGGCATTCTAAAAGGAGATGTTTGATGGAGATATTGGATCCGTAGGTGATGCATGGTTCTGAGTCTGTTTTGTCCACGAGGTGTTTGTGGGTATGCCAGGAGTGTACAATCCTTAAGCGGGTTAGAATTACTTCCTGTTGTCTAGTTATGTTTGATGGGTTAATCCATCTATCGGTGGTGGGTTTAATCTCTCTTAATTTGTTGTCCCTCAGAAAATGCCATTCCTTACGCCATAAGTTTGTTATGATATTTTTGGCTTCTCTTTTAAGATCATTTTTAGAAGGCAAGTTCAATACTTCGATGGTTTGATCACTGGTTGCTTGTTTTGCCATCATGTCTGCTCTTTCATTACCTTCAATTCCGGTGTGGCTAGGAATCCATGTTAGTGTTATAAGTTTATTAGTATTGTTGAGAAGATTAATAATATTATTGGTAACAAAATGTATAACAATTAATGAGTGTACATTACATATATAGTACAAATAAATGTTTTAATTTATTCATAGTACCTTAAGAATTATTTCAACAATATCTTTTTTTCCTTTAAAAGCAACAATGTAAAGAGGAGAATACCGAGTTATTGGATGTATTCTACCATCAGCTTTATGATCAAGTAACATTTTCACTATGTCTTTTCTCCCAACTTCACAAGCACTAATAAAAATAAATATTTTAGTTTATAATTAAAATAATAATAATAATAATGAATTGTAAATAATTAAGTTTAATACCAGTATAACAATGTGGTACTACCATTAGGTGCCATATTAACAATGAAATCTTCTTTTGACCCAAGTTCCAACAAAATTGTACGGGTTGCATTAAAATCTCCTCTGCAAATGGCATCTCGTAATGCCATATGAATTGTGTTTTGTGATTCTTCCCAGGAATCTTTAACAGAACATAGCAATATAACAGCATAAGTTTATATAATGTGAGTAAAATAATTATAAACCTTTATTTTTAATTAACTTTGTTTACTGTATTGCTTGTGTGTTTTCTTTTTTTTGAAAAAAAAAAAAAAATTTTCTTAAACAAATTCAAAGATATAAATTTTAATTTTTAGTAACATAATAGCTTACAATATTGACGTATTTCGTTTATAAAGTAGGCACATGCATCTATACCGGTTTCTGTTTTAAGACATTTGTTTGTAAATAGATCACTAGGGGTGAGCCAATTAAACATTTTCGTATCATCACAAATTCGCAAACACTGTTTCGACTTAATGACAAAGACGAATGATATTAATACATTCGTATAACTGACAACTATTATAACCAAAGAAGGGAAAGAAAATAATAATAGAAATTTCTACAACAGTCTTTAAATGTGCCGTGACTGATTCAGCATGAACAAAGGACCTTGTACAACGAATCAAAACCTAAACTCCAATTACCTACTATTTAGTATTGTAATAAAACGTGTGGCTTACATATTTCAAAGGGAAACCGAAAAATATACACACATTCACTTACAAAATATTTCGTACAAAAAGACATTTCCAAATTGTTATTGATACAAAATAACTACATAAAAGAAATAAACGTGTTAAGTATTTTAAAACATTTATGGAATCTGTATAAATTAAACAGTTAAAACATTTGTAAAAATAATTAATATTGTAGGTAAAAATATTATTTGATTTAAATATTTGAATACAATTTAATATAAATGAAATTTTTATTTTGTCGATATTGAAGATTACTATATTATATTTCCTTCATGGAAAACGGTTATAATGTGATTAACTGCATGAAAAACTAACAATTCCGATATGGTGTTGGTTCTAACTTAAAACTTCTGACAATGATTGAATTACATAAAAAAAATGACTAATTCAGGTAGTTATTGTTACTTTTAAGGCTACTAAATTTCATGTAGAATTACATAAAAAGGAAAACACACGAGATCTATGATACCCATATGTATATATAATACAATACATAATGGTAATATTATTATTTGCATTTGCTTGAACAAAAGAACATTTACGTGTTTTACTAATGTCTGTCAAAAATAGCAATTTTTAATTTAATATAAACTAGAATAAGAATTCTTTCGTGTTTCGAATAATTAGTATTTATTAATAAAAAAAACCAGAGCAATTTTTCAAGTTAGACTGTAAATTATTTACTTAATTATATAATGAAACTTAAAATGTTTACAGAAAAATATAGAAAATGTAATAAATAAAACTCACAAAAAATAGTTTTAACAAAATCAAATATAAGCTGAATAATATTATTTAATAATTTTAATGTCTTACTAAGTGATAACTTTTTGATCAGAATCACGATTATAAAAAATTATAATCGTAAACTGAATAAACGTATGTGTTTTTTAGATCTCATTTTTTAAACGTATTTTTAAAAATTACTAAGTTAAAAATTATAATTTGTTATGATTAAAAATAATTCTTTTACAAAGTTAAAGTGTGTAATGGGTATAGTGAAAAAAAAAATAGACTGTTGAAAAAAATCTCGTAAAATTCTACTTTTAGAACTAATAATGAATGATAAATATTAATAAAAATGGATACCAATTACCAATAATAGAAATATCTAACTTAAGTTAAAAGAAAAAAATATGAATCAAGGTTCGTAGAACAGGTAAAATCTTATCTTAAATTTAGATTTCAAACACTAAATCACATTATTAACAGTTTTTAAATCGTATTATAATTTTTTTTTTTTTTTTTTTTATTATAAAGAACAAGGCCTCGACAAC